TGTTCGCCTTTGGCACGAATTATGGCCTTCGAATGTTGCTCTGTGGTATTTTGGCCCATTTCCGGCGAAGCGATTGCTTGAGGTGATCGACACTTTGGTCTTTTTTAGTGCCAATCTTGCTTTCGAAAATGCTTAAGACACAATAGTCCAGCGGATTGGAATCCGCAGATTCCGGTGGACATTGTGCGCTGGAAATGAAGGGAGGAACCTCATTTTGTAACTATTCATGGGTGGCGCGTGCTGAGTGCGATGATGCTGAGTCCTGTTGCAATGTCCAAGGTCTGCGGCCAAAATGTTTGCGAGCCCAAGACTTTAATACACCCTCCAGAATATTTTCGCGATTATATTCGGCATTTATTCTGATGCCACAGTCGATTAATACGAGCGGAAAGCGACCATCGGCTCTTATGGCGGCCCACACCATCACCATGGCCGGCGCTTGAGTTCTGGTGGTGCACATTTTCAGCTAACTTCTTTGGCAAGTAAACACGATCATTTTGTTTGTTTACAAACTGCTGGACAACAAATGTTTTCTCATCGGGGAAAACCAAATTCGGCAGTTCACCACTTTCGACGAAGCAAATCTTTAGCTCTTTTAAGTCTATTTTCTTTCTGTTGCGGTGTAAGTTCTTGCACTTTTTGGAATTTCAATGGCTTAGCCCAAACTTATTTCTCAATATTTTCCGAATGAAATATCGCGATACGTTTTTTGGCTGCGTCGAACCATTTCTACTGATATTGCTGTTTTCTTTCGTCCACTTCCTTGACGTCGGGCTACGCAACCAGTATCACGGTAACGAGCGATGGCGATAACAAAACACAAAAGATATATTCGCATTTAAATGCTGGAGTGCTCTGACGATAGCCACTTGTGGTTTTCCAGCCAAATATAAAGAAATCACATTATCACGCTGGAATTCCATCACGAATAACTTTTTCTCACCAAAGTGCTTTTGTACACTTGTAAACAATATAATGAGCTGTCACTGGAATAATTTTAACTGCTGTCGGACGAGTGGCTTAGAACTTACAGCAGTCTGAAATTGGTTGCAGTTTTTTCATCTCACCCTGTATGTACCATATGTCTGCTGCTATAAAAATCACAAAAAGTCAATTCTCCCAATGATTTGAATTGTTATCCATCTGTTTTTAATTCACACAATCACACACGCACTCACATCTTTTTTGCCCCACTGTCATAATTTCCCAACCAAGTTACTTGCCAATGAACTTTCACTCCAAAGTCATTGATTTCATATAAATTATGTTAAACACGTTAAGGGTGACTGAAACAATGGAAACACATTTGACCTGACAACGAAAATAACCTTTGTCTTGGGATGGTGTAGGTATTCGATTTACGTAAATTCCCATACCATATACCAATATGTAAACCCCCAAATGCGATATGCGGAACCAATTGACGACAATGTCAAGTCCATTGTAATTTGTTTAGTATAAATTGTTATTATTGCAAAATATTTCAATTGATAAATCCTAAACCCCTTCTCCCCGTAGCATTCTAACCTTGGAAACCAAGGAGAATATTTTTCGAAAGAAATAAGCCCTAAGGGAAAACGAGTCTCATGGAATTCAAGGGGGGTGCAATTTACTTCCTACCTTTTTTTTCTTAGACAAAATATGTCTTCCAGGCACAATTTAACAACAATGTTTCGGCAACATTGCCACCTGTTGAATAGCCTCTTTCAGTTAACCACAGCAGAGCCCATGTAAACCAAAAACCAGCCAACACATTTTGTCATTTGGTACAACACAGAAAACAAACACCCCTGGATATACATTTACGTAGTACTGAATTTTTATCACAAACCATCACCGGCTTTTTCTTTTTGTTAAGAGGGCTTTCGCTACCACTTAAACCACCGAAAAAACAGAACAATGACCATGGCGCTTAAAAACATGCTCAACATGAGAGTGTAAACATTAAGAGTTACAAACGAAAAAACCAACTGAACGTAGTAACGTCTATTGCCCGCCACCAAAGCATGCGGACGACAGCAGCAGACGTGACAAGTGGTTGTATTCCAGTTGCTGGTCTATCAGCCGATTAAGAGTAATAAATATAGCATACTGCGTCTGTACCTCCATCACCCGAATAGGTACATTGTGTGAATTTGCGGTTTCATTAACACTTGCTCTTTTTATTGCCGCCATTGCAGTTCTACCAACGACCGACGCAAATGTTTTCATTCATATGGGAGATGTACACTGGGAGAAAAATTATTTTGGGAATCATTTGATTACTTAATTTGATGCAAGCAATACACATTCGATATTGTATACTTATTACAATTTGTAGTTTTTATACTCTCCACCATAGTATGGGGGGTATATTAAGTTTGTCATTCCCTTTATAACACCTCAAAATATACATTTTAGACCCCACAAAGTATTTACAGGGTGAGATAAAGAAACTGCAACATAGTCAACCGCCATCATTTTTACAGTTTTTTTTTTTTTTTTAATTTTATCGAATGAAACCAAAAATATCGGAAATAGCATCAAATTTTAGAATAAGTTTAGATTTGTTCGAATTGGTCACCTTTGGCACGAATTATGGCCTTCAAACGGCCAATGAAACCGCAACACGCTGCCCGAATGTTGCCCATTCTCGGCGAAGCGCTTGCTTGAGGTGATCGACACTTTGGTATTTTTTAGTGCCAATCTTGCTTTCCAAAATACTCCAGATACAATAGTCCAACGGATGGGTATCCGGTATTTTGGTGGCCATTGTGCGCTGAAAATGAAGCAAGGAACCTTATTTTGTAACCATTCTAGACAACGACTGTTTTCTCATCCGAGAAAACAAAATTCGGCTGCTCGTTCGGCACTACTTTCGGCCAAGCGAAGCAACTCTTTAGCTCTTTTGAGTCTATTTTTTTTTAGTTGCGGTGTAATTTCTTGCGTTGTTTGGAATTTCAATCGCGTCACCCCAATATTTGCCGAATGGAATATTGCGATATGTTCAGCTCACAAGCCATTTTTGCTGATGTTGCTGGCGAGGAAACTAATTTTGTAACCATTCTTGGGTGGAGCCTGCTGGATGCGGTGGTGCTGAGTCCTGTTGGAAAGTCCAAGGTCTCGGCCAAAATATTTGCGTGCCCAAGGCTTTAATACACCCTCCTGAATATTTTCGCTATAATATTCGGCATTTATTCTGATGCCACGGTCGATTAATACGAGCTGAGAGCGACCATCGGCTGTTATGGTTGCCAACCGAAGGTGCACATTTTCAGCTGACCACTTTGGCAAGTAAACACGATCATTTTGTTTGTTTACAAACTGGTGGACAACGAATGTTTTCTCATCGGAGACGGAGAAAATCAAATTCGGCAGTTCACCACTTTCGGCCAAACGAAGCAACTCTTTAGCTCTTTTAAGTCTATTTTCTTTCTGTTTGGGTGCGGTGTTAGTTCTTGCACTTTTTGGAATTTTAATGGCTTTACCCCGAGCTCATTTTTCAATATTTGCCGAATGGAATATTGCGATAAGTTCAGCTCACAAGCCATTTTTCTGCCACTGCGACGCGGGATTCGATCAAGTCCCTTCTTTACTTTTCGAACCATTTCCGCTGATGTTGCTTTTTTCTTCTGTCCACTTCCTAGAAGTCGCGCTACCAGTATCACTGCAACGAGCGATGGTAAACCATATAATGAGCTGTCACTGGAATAATTTTATCAGCTGTCAAACGAGTGGCTTAGAAATGACAGCAGTCTGAAATTGGCTTCAGTTTTTTCATTCACTCTGTATATGTAATATGCACTCCACAACAATGATATTTCAGATTTCATATTTGGGTATAGCTCCCATATATATAGACAACCGATCTCGGGTTAATTGTGCGCCAAATGGCCAATATCAGTGCAAATTACCTGAATTTTGGCACATCCGACCGAATTCAGTCTAGAAGTAGGTACTACAAATTTTTTCGGTTCAGATATAGCCATAGCTCCCATATATACATTTCGTCCGATTTGGTGTTTAAGGGACTAATATTCGTAATATGCATTCGACAACAATGGTAATTAGCACAAGATATCTATATCTATATAGAGCTCAGAAATACTTTTACCAAATTTTATCAACAACGATTAAGATTTGGATATAGCTCCCATACATATCCTTAATCCGATTTCAGGTTTATTATGCAAATAATGTTCAGGCAAACTGGGCGTTTCCATTTTGTGGAACTTGGCTCCGATATATATATATTTTTTTTAATATAATCCTTCTCGAAGTGATATCATGCACTCTATACCAATGTTATTTGGATTAAAATGTCTCCGTCAAATGTATTGAAAATCGATTCAGAATTGGATGTGCCTCCCATATATTTGTTCCCTCTGAAACCAAACTATAATTGCTCTAAAGCCAAATGTTGATAGGTGGTATGATCTACTTCAAATAAATTCTTTTGTTACGGGAGCTCTACTAAATATGCATAGATTTTATGCTGTGAAATTTGACAAGGTAAATTACAGAAATGCAGAGATAGGTATGCTTGTTTGATATTACTTTACCTCCTTATTTTCACCATGAAATAAATTATATAGAAATAACTATCAGTACTTTACAACTTTTCACTATACATATACACAAGCCACATAAAAACTTTCGAGTTTCTCCCGCAACCCGTGGTACAATATTAATCAGTTTTCAGTACGATATACTAAAACACGGTTTTACCTTCGACTATACAAAGAGTTTTGAAGGACTCTTCAACGGCGACGTGAGACAGAGAGGCGCACTGTTAATACTTCTTGCCCTTGTACGACTTCATATGTACATATAAGTAAAGAGCGTTGTATTTACTGAAAGAGAGAGGCTCTTGCCTCATTTGCTATACAATCATTATAATGACAATAATAATTATTATTAGACATTTCCTCCAAGTCGTTTTCCCAGTGTACTTTACTACTTACTCATCCAAATCAAACATCGCCACAATACACCCCGACAACAATTGAATGTCGAAAGTGTTGTTGTTCGATTATTGTGTTGCGAACAACGGAGCAAGACAAACGCCTCTTGTTGATGTTTCTGCCTCAAAGGTTGGTTGGCTGGCTGCCTGCCGGGTTGGTAGTCTGCTGACTGTTTTGCTATTTTACGGTAACTACCATCAGTCGCATTTCGATGGTCGGTCGGTCGGTCGATTGGTTGATGTGCTGTTGTTGTTGGCTTGTTTTGTCTTCTCTTGTCTGTCGTGTTTATATAAACAAAAGCGATGATTTATTTAATGTTAATCGTTAACAAGCGCCTTCAACAAACGGAAGACAATACTCTCTCACGCATCGAGGTTGTAATTTTGCAAAATAGTTACAGAAGCAGCAACCTTTCGGCAAAATAACTAAACAAACGAAACGAGAGCAGAGAAATAAATCATTTATGTTTCGGTATTATTAAAATATAAAGCTTTTGACATGAAATTTGAGGCGCGAAAATGATGACTGTGGCAAATCAACAAGTGAATTAAACAAAAAAAAAATAATAATAATAACATTTGAATATAGGCTAAACGAGAGAAGAAAGAAAGAAATCGAAAACCAATCAAACAAATATCAAAAGAAAATATTTGTGCAAATGTGTTTTAGCAGTAAGTTGTGAATATCAATTAAAACAATTAATGAGTGCTGTGCGATGGTTTGCGGTTATGAGGCTGCTACTGCTACTGGTGTTGAAATGTTGCTAATAGAATTTTCTTTTTTAAAACCAGACAAATATTATTTATAAATCGGCATCGCTGGCAATGAAATACGCAAATTATGAATAATCCATAGAGATTTGTATGTGATTATTATTGTAAGGGAAAATGTTTATATCCATCGACAATGCAGTAAATAATAATTATATAACATTTTTAATTGGCCAAAATTATTTTTCTATTTTTAATGTCAAAATTTGTTAAAAAAAAATGTGGAAAAATGCGGAGTCTGGACTATGCCGAGGCCACTTTTAAAATCTACAAAATTATTATATTTAATCTTTGGAATTCAAAAACAGCGAATTAAGTTTTAAATGTCGAACATTTATTATATATATTTTCGATCAGCGGAAAATACTTTCCTGATTAAGCTATGATTGTTTGTCTGTTGAAGTCAAGATAGAGCCCGCTATATTCATCATAGCTTTATGGAACATTGCACATACAATGATATTATTCTTGTATAAGCTTGTTTCTAAAAACGGTCAGTCGTTATTTTGAAACTTTGCAAAATGTCTTCAAAATAAGTCCATTATGGTATATGAACTATATAAAAATATGTTTCCCGATTTTAAGTAATTTGAAGGTTTCAGAGCAGAAATAGGCAGAACACATCTTTGCAAACAGTGTTGAATGTAGGTTCAGGTTTTGGAGTAGCAGTTATATAAGGATCATAGTTATACAGAGTGAGATAAAAAAAAACTGCAACAGTCAAACGCCATAATTTTTACATTTTTTTAACTTTATTGTATGAAAGCAAACAAGTAAAAAAACATTAAGTTCGGCCGGGCCAAACTTTTAATACCCTCCACCTTAGGGTAAAGGAAACATTAGAGCTCATTATGACCACATCTATCAATTTTTAGACATATTCATGGGAAAATGTGCCAAAAAATCATCAAAATACCGAATATCGGGAGGTACCATTATATGGGTGCTATACCAAATCGTGGGCCTAAACATGCAATGTTTCGCCACACGGACTAGGACCCATTATGACCTACAAATATCAATTTTCAGACAAATCAGTGAAAAAAATGTGGGCTGTATCGTGTTTCAACGGACGGACAGACAGACAGACGGACATCGTTAAATCGACTTAGAATTTTATGCTGATTATGAAAACATATACTTTATGGGGTCTACGACGAATATTTAAGGATGTTACAAACGGAATGACAAAGTCAATATGCCCTTCTTTCCAAGGGGGAGGGTATAAAAATGTCGGAAATAGCATCAAATTATAGAATTAGTTTAGATTTGTTCGAATTGGTCACATTTGGCACGAATTATGGCCTTCAAACGGCCAATGAAACCGTCACACGCTGCCCGAATGTTGTTTTGCGGTGTTTTGGCCCATTCCCGGCGAAGCGCTTGCTTGAGGTGATCGACACGTTGGTATTTTTTAGTGCCAACCTTGCTTTCCAAAATAGTCCAACGGATTGGTATCCGGAGATTTTGGTGGCCTTCGCTGGAAATGAAGCGAGGAACCTCATTTTGTATTCATTCTTGGGTCACGCGTTCTGAGTCCTGTTGGAATGTCCAAGGTCTGCGGCCAAAATGTTTGCGTGCCCAAGGCGTTAATACACCCTCCAGAATATTTTCGCGATAATATTCTGAATTTATTCTGATGCCACGATCGATTAATACGAGCGCAGAGCGACCATCGGCTGTTATGGCGGCCCACACCATCACCATGGCCGGCGCTTGAGTTCTGGTGGCCCACCGAAGGTGCACATTTTCAGCTGACCTCTTTGGCAAGTAAACATGATCATTTTGTTTGCTAACAAACTGCTGGGCAACGAATGTTTTCTCATCGGAGAAAACCAAATTCGGCATTTCACCACTTTCGACCAAGCGAAGAAACTCTTTAGCTCTTTTGAGCCTATTTTCTTTCTGTTGCGGTGTAAGTTCTTGCAATTTTTGGAATTCAATGGCTTTACCCCGAGCTCATTTTTCAATATTTGCCGAATGGAATATTGCGATATGTTCACTTGTGGTTTTCCAGCCAAATATAAAGAAATCACACTATCACGCTTGAATTCCATCACGAATAAATTTTTTTCTGGACCATTCTCAACAAAATGCTTTTGTACGATTGTAAACAATATAATATGCTGTCACTAGAATAATTATAACAGCTGTCGAACGAGTGGCTTACGAATGACAGTCGGTTGCAGTTTTTCATCTCACCCTGCATATACTTTATAGTGTCTACGACGAATATTTAGGGATGTTACAAACGGAATGGCACTCCTCTTCGAGGTTGAGGGTATAAAAATAATTGATCTTGTACAGAAAAAAATACACATACATGCAACAACATAGGAATGCAACAACAGTATGATAAAAACTGAAAGAGTGCTCGGCAAGGGTAAAATCTGCTCGATTTTGGACCGATTTTTCTCCTACTCAAAAACGAGGAAAATATGCTCACTCGTATTAAAGCAACATCGAAAAATTGAGTTTGCTCGATTTTTTTCTGTTTCCAGGAGCGCACTACAAGATCAAAACTCAAAATAAAATATTTCAATAATTTCCGTGTAAAAATATCAAGAAATGTTCTAATATGCCTAAAATCAAACCTCTTTTCAAGAATTACCTCTAAAATACTTGCGAAAAATGTTTGTGTTTGAGTTTTATCCTTTCTTTGCCAATTTTTAAATTTGAATTCCTTTCTTTGTTTACTCTATAACACGCAACGAATATAAGGTTATGTTTGTTCTTTGCTTCTTGTAAACGATTTATTTGAATTTGTTTGCCTTTACTTTGCAAAAAGTTGATTGAACTTGATGTCTTTTTTTCTGCACCTCAAGTATTTGAACCTTGACGGAAGAGGTAAAAGTATATATATCTACCATTTGTGTGTGTGTGTGTGTGTGTGTGTCTGTTGTCGAAAATGTGATTTTGTTATTTGCACAAAACAGCAAATATTTGAACATTGTAAGGTCAATGAATAACAAATTGACTTTCAATATTAAAACGATTAATCTTGGCGATGGGGTGATATCTTTGTGTGGAGTAACATAATTCCGTGATTTTCACAGTAAATCAGTTATGGTCGAAATTAAAACTTTTCAAAAGAGAGAAGGTAGGAAATGCTTTAATGTCAATTTGTTATGTAATAATAACTGATATTTTATCTAGTTAATATCAGGCTTCATAATTATGTTATACTTATTTGTATTAAGTAAAGCACTAGACTTTTGTAATGAGTCTAAAAATACCACTAACGAGACATTTCAATTAGGCGAATATGTAATGGCAATTCACATTACCTTGTATCTTCAATTAGACTAATTGACAATATTTGGTTTGTATTAGGAAACCAAACGAATTCTTGCTTTAAACAAAAACCAATAACTTACTCAGACATTGGCCTATGAAGTTCCTCCTACCGCCAACTAAAACCTTAAATAAAATTCCCCACCAACACACTCGCACATGTGTAGCATTCTCTCCATTGATAATCCCACCTGACTTGACTCACTTATTTATTTATTCTAATGGTGTGTGTCACAAATGTCATTATAACTGTCATAAGTTTGCGGTCTGAGAAACTAAGTCAATTCATTTACATCGAATATAAACAAATTACACGATTCTACAAACCAAAAGAATTATTTCCAACTCCTTCCAAGTCTAGGTGGCTGTTTGGATGGCGTGGATGGAAAAAGAGTTTGAATGGTCTGGATGTGTTTAATGCTTTACTAGAACATAGCTTGCATAACTTTGGTGTGATAATTTGGAAACTTTCTCTCTTAGGGGACTAGTTATGTAGAGAAGCAATGGTGAGAGGAATTATGTTGATAATTAAATACGAGTGTTAATAAGCAAAATTATTCTCTTTATTACAAAGGCTTCTTATATATTCAGTAACAATACTATTCGTATATATTACACTATGTACACAACATCTTCATATGGAAAACTTGAAAGGACATGTATAACATATATATTTGTAAGTCGTCAGACGGCGCTTCAGTGTTGGTAAATTTATTTTTCATTTTTGTAAACTATTACCAGACTACGGAAGCATTTGAATACTAATTTTGCTAAAGTCAATTTATTTCATTTTTAATCAATTCTCAAGCATAAGATAGTTTATTTAACAATTCTGTAGCTCATTTAAAACTATAGTTTTATTCCCATAAGAAGTATTTATTTGTTGGGGATATTATAAGTTTGATTGTGCCAAAAATTATGTAACACCTCGAAATTATGTAACATCTTCCAATCTTGGCGAGCTGTATCGATATATCTATGGAATTTAGCATTAGGTTAGAATTTAGGGCTGGGCCTGACATTTTGTTTGGTAATCGAACAATACAGGGTGAGATGAAAAAACTGCAACCAACTTCAGACTGCTATCATTTCTTAGCCACTCGTCCGACAGCTGTTAAAATTATTCCAGAGACAGCTCATTATATTGTATACAAGCGTACAAAAGCATTTTGGTGACAATTTTCCAGGGAGTTATTCGTGATGGAATTCAAGCGTGATAGTGTGATTTGTTTATATTTGGCTGGAAAACCACAAGCGGCTATCATTAGAGCACTCCAGCATTTAAATGTGAATAAATCTTTTGTGTCTCATACCATCGCTCGTTATCGTGGCACTGGTAGCGTAACCCGACGTCAAGGAAGTGGACGGAAGAAAGCAGCTACGTCAGCAGAAATGGTTCGAAAAGTAAAGAAGTAACTTGATCAAAACCCGCGTCGCAGTGGCCGAAAAATGGCTCGTGAGCTGAACATATCGCAATATTCCATGTGGCAAATATTGAAAAATGAGCTCGGATTAAAGCCATTGAAATTCTAAAAAGTGCAAGAACTTACACCGCAACAGAAAGAAAATAGATTCAAAAGAGCTAAAGAGTTGCTTCGCTTGGTCAA